TGTTGCCATAAGACTCTTAATAAAATTGATTTTCGCGTGTGATTTATGGACTAAGTCTCATTTTTTTAGAATTGCAGTTGAATACGAGTTCCAAGGAATTCATGGTTCCATAAGTCTATATTCTTGGATATATTTTACATTTTACATACTGAATTTTACATTGCACATGTTTTTTTCCTGAGCTTTGAAAGTATTAAAGGTAAAGCTAAAAATTTTTCAGTTTCTAATCTTTTAACTAAAGGGAATAAAAATGTTTTTTGATTGATAAATTTTTTTTAATTTTAAGTTAAAAAAATAAATAATATAAAGCAAATAATTTTCACCTTGGTAAAGTATTAAATATACTACTGAGACCAGCAGATGGTGTAATGGTCGTTGGACTCCCATGTAGTTGACCACAGTTTGAGTTCTGAACCTGGTGGCTTAAAATTCATGCTGGGTGCATGTGCATGCGTGCCCAAAATCCTGAGAGGAGAATGGAGGAGAAGGGATTGCAGCATGGACATTCCTTATGGAGGGGGTGATTTCTCACTTTCTGTCTTCTTCATCTCTCTGGCGAGTACACATGACCTGCTTTGTAATCAAGAAATGCTTGTGATAGAAAAAAACAAAGAAGTGAATATAAGGCTATTAAATAGTTTAACAAGCATTATTACATTTAATCCCACTGAATATTTCATTTTTGTTTTCCCCAGAGAAAACAACAAATAATGAAGATATTTTCATTCATCCAGACTTCACTGAGTTTATAGGAAAATATATAAATCTAAAATGTAGTCATTAATGGGATCAGCAGATGATGTAATGGTTACGTCACTGGATTCCTATGTAGTTGACTGCGGTTCGAGCCCTGGATCCAGCAGCTTAAAACTCACACAGAGCATGTGTGTATGTGTGCTCAAAATCCCAAAAGGATGAAGGAGAAAAGACTGCGGTATGGCCTTCCCCCCGGGGGGAGGGGTGATTTTGTGCTTTCTGTCTCTGTCTCCGGTGAGTGCATGCTCCCTATGACAATAGTCTCTCTAAATAAACAAATAAATAAATAAATAATGAGATGTAGTGATTTGAACAGATCATAACTATAGATATATTATCTTGTAGCAAAATTCCCCCCAGTTTAAAATACTTCCTCACTGCCCTGTTTGCAGCACGCTTGGTAAGACCGCTCACTTACGTGGGACAGGAAGCTGGCTGTAGACTGGGAAGATGCCACGTTAGAATGAGAACGTGTGACAGATGAAGGCTGGAGAAGGCGTGGTTTCACTGAAGAATTGGAGGTGTATCCTGGACCCTGAAGTTCCTGGAAAACAGTATAGATGTGCACAAAATAATCACCAACCTATAATTAGAAATAATCATGAAATCAAAATATACTTTTTTTTATTTCAGGCAAGATCCTTTATTGAGACTTTAAAATATGTCTGAAATTTTAAAATATACTTCTGAAAATAGACATATATTTCAGTGGAAACAACACATATTTTTGTCATGTAGATTGTGTTACTTGTGGTATTACCCAAAAAAAGCCAAGCACACTCATGTGTTGGGTTTTTGCATTCACTTGAGATGTGTGTGTGTGTGTGTGGGTATGTGCGAGAGAGAGACCCGCCCCTTGGCTATCCCTGAGGCAGGTACTTGTGAAACTCGTGTTTCGTTAAGCGTGGCACTTCAGTTGTGACCATATACAGGCGTGGTGTGTAACAGTGTAATGGCAATTGTGCAGGCTGTGTAATTGCTAATATCAGGTAATAATGAAAGTACACTTAGCATCTACCGCACATGAAGAAAATATAAAAGCATACCAAACAAAGGCATTATTTTTGCTTAAACTACTATTTATGGTGAAAAAAAAAATCCTTACTTTCACATCCAAGGTGTGCTGGAGTTTTAGGCGTGCGGATTCTTGCTCCTGACGTTGGATTATGTCTTGACATTCTGCAAACTGCAAAGATGCCTACAATCAAGCAATCACATGTGGTTTATCTTCCAATCTTTTTGCACTTTTACTATCTTTTTTTTCATTGCTGAGGATTTTGTCTTAGGATGTGTGTACTCACCAGAGAGAAAGACAGACAGACACAGTGAGAGAGAAGGTGAGAAATCACCCCCCAGGAGGGATGACCATGCAACAATCCCTTTTCCATTCTCCTCCCAGGATCTTGGGCAGGCATGCACATGTGACCAGCATGAGTTTCAAGACACCAGGTCTGGGACTCGAACCACGGTCGACCGTGTGGAAGTCCAGTGATGTAACTGCTAGGCCATCTTCTGGCTCCTACTTTTACTTTCTTATCCTACAAATGTAGAACGGCCATCTCTTCAAGGAGTCTCCCCTTTTCATAGCACACTATGTTACGGTAACTACTTAGGTTTTATGGAGTAAACTGGGAGAAACTGGCCCCGTCCTCACCCTCTGTGTCTTCCAGGAAAGGATATACATATTGCACGTAGTACGTGAAGGGCTCACAGAAGAATAAATAAATGAACTATGGATGAAATGAACAAACTACTTTGGAAAAGTAAAAATATGTACAGAGGGCCAGCCTGTGGCATGGTGGTAAGACAGCTAGATCCCACATGGCAGACTGTGTGTTTCTAGTCCTGGTCCCGCTGGCTGGAGAAACATGTGTGCCCTCAAAATGCCGAAAGGAAGGAGAAATGGAGGAGGAGAGATTGTGGTGTGACCATTCCCCTTGGGGAAGAGAGGTGCTTTTTCCTGTCCTTTTCTCTCTGTTTTCTGCAGTGAACACTTGTGCCCTCTGGCAAAAACTTTAAGAAATTTATATTAAAAATAGGGACCAGCAGGTGGTGTGATGGTTGCATCACTTGACTCCCACATAGTCTACTGCAGTTCGAGTCCCAGATCCAGTGGCTTAAAACTCACACTGGGCACATGTACATGTATGCCCAAGCTCCCAAGGGGGAGAGTGGAGGAGAAGGGATTGCAGTGTGGCTACCCCTCCTGGTGAGGTATATATATATAAAACCCCTGAAATTCACTGCGTCAATATAGTACATTTTAAGAAACAAAGGTGACCAGATGGTGGACAGATGGTGGTAGCCGTGAACGTGACGCCTGTGAGGCAGGCCCAGTGGGAAGGTTGCCAGTCCGAGCTTGGAGCCCTCCCGAGTACCCCGGCATGTGTGTACCTGTGGTCTGGGCTGGCCGAAGGCTGTGGATAAACCACGGCATCAGCACCCTTCTGGGCACGCTGTCTCTCTTCCTCTGTCTCTCTCGTTCATGGGAAAAAATATTGTAAAAGGAAGGGAGTTAGGAGAGAGGAAGGCAAGGGGAAAGGAAGGAAAGAGAGAGAAGGGACATAGTTGGGGCCATGGAACGTTTTATCTCACCGTGAGGGTTCTAATATCTTAGCAGTTGAGGACTAGTTTGGGTATAATTTTAGGCTTCCAGAACTTCTAGGAGACAGAAGAGAGTTATCCCTGTAAATAAATGGCAATGACAAATGTAGTGCCTTTTTTTTTTTTTTAACGTTTTTGCCATAGGGTGCATGTGCTCACCGGAGAGAGGTAGAGAGAGACAGTGAGAGGCGAAGTGAGACATCACTCCCCAGGGAGGATGGCCACACCTTAGTTCCTTCTCTGTTCTTCTCCTGAGTTTTTTGGGCACGTAGGCACCTATGTCCAGCATGATTTTTAAGTTGCCAGGTCCAGGACTCAAAACGAGATCAACCTTGTGGGAGTCCAGTGCCTTAACCACCATGCCACCTGTTGGTCCTCTTTTTCATTTTCTAAGCGGTGTTTTCCACCTGCACTTTCTGGACCCCACAAAGTGCTATCAATTTATTGATATTATTAAGAGATTGTATTCTGTCTAGTGTCTGAGTTATTCTTTTGTGGAAAGTTAAGTGCTTAGGAAGGTATTCTTACTTGAACTAAGGATATTAGGAGCATCTTACATCTTACTGATCCTGTGATGTTAGCTTGAAAGATAATCTGCATTATGACTAGGTTTTTAAAACTCAGAAGAGCCAGGGCTGACTGGTGGCATGGTGGTTAGGTGTTGGACTACCACGTGGCCAACCATGGTTTGAGTCCCAGACCCAGTTGCTTGCTTTCTCACCCTCCCCCCACCATCTCTCTCTCTGGTCAAGTTAAAATAATAATAATAATTAATAAAATAAAATAAATAATAAATAATTCTTTAAAATAAAAACAACTCAGAAGAGCCTTATTCACAGGATATACTTTTCTTTTTTATACTAGGTGATTGAGATACAGATTGACAGATTCAGTTCCTCTATAAACAGAGCTTTTGTTGAGAACAATTTCATTTAATTAGTATTTACTCAGTAATCACTTCATGTATTTAGTTAGAAACTACCTTATCAAGAGCAACTTCCATATTAGCAACCTTTTCTTTCAAACGCCGTTCCTGAGATCTCAGGACTTCCAGTTCCCCTGCCATCTTGTTTTTCTCTGTTGCAATGGTAGTCAATTCCTGGCTGAGTTTACTCTTCTCTTCTTTCAGAAAATGTTTCTCCTGCAATTATAGAGGAGGGAAATAGTAGAAATAACATAGAATCTGAGAGGCAATGGAAGAACACAACTTTTATTTAAAAGGATCCTAAATTAATTAAGATTAATTCATAGACTATTTCATTACTTCTGAGTGGGATTTGGGAGCTGCTAAGTAGTGTGTTATTATGGACAAAAAGACTTTAAAAAGTGCATAGAAAATAAAATTAAAATACAACTCTATTCTGGTATAAAAATGTTTTGAAATCTATACACAGTTTCTTCATAATGCACATTTTCCATGAACTTTATGAAGATTCCCCCCTTAAATTCTCTCTTATTTTTATTACTACTAGCATTGTGGCACGGCCATCCCTCCAGGGAGTGGTTTCTGGCTTTCTGTCTCTCACTATCTGTCTTTTTGGCGAGTGCACACAACCTATAGCAAAAACCTCTCAAAAAAAAAAAGGGACCAGCAGTTAGCATGATGGCTATGTTGCTGGACTCCCATGTAGTTGACTGTGATTCGAGTCCCAGACCCGGTGGCTTAAACTCACACTGGGTGCGTGTGTGTGCGTGCCCAAGATACCGAGAGGAGAATGGAGGAGAAGGGATTGCAGCGTGGCCATCCCCCCTGGGGGGTGGTTTCTTGCTTTCTGTCTCTCTGTTTCTCTGGCGAGTGCACATGCCCTATAGCAAAAACCTCTCCCAAAAAAAAGAAAAAAGAAAAAAAATTTTTTTGAGATTTAATTTAAACCACAGAAAGGATTTAAAGATGAATTTATTTGACATTTTAAAGGGTTTTTGTTGTTGTTTCAAGGTCGAATATTTACTTCACAGATAAATTCTGCAGATCCTAAGACACAAAAACAATGAAAACACACAGTTCCTGGGCCCCAGTCACCTACCTGTCCGGCGATAAGAATAAGCTCACTGATGTAGTTACAGTAGATAGTCTTGGGTATTGAATGAAATTTCATTAAAAATTACTTTATGCCTTTACAAAAGCACCATGAGATAGGCAGACAAAAATAAAAAAATATATTTATCACGTTAAAATACAAATAGTAGTTTGCTGAGTCTAGATTTCTTTAAATATATATTTGAGGTGAAAACTGTTCAAGGTTTAAGTGTCACCACTGTAACACACATTTTGTATGCAAATAAGTTTGCCTTTTCTGATTAGGTTGGGCAGAAAAGTCTTCAGAAGATAAGAGAGATACATTTTGGGGGGGAACGTCACTACCTAAGGTGAATATTGTCCTTTCTAAGTGAAGCAGGCACCTTGGCTCATAGCAGGCAGTGACATCTTAACACCCTGACTACCACGAGGGAGGATCAACACTGCTTTTCGCTCCCAAAGGCACACGACAGAAGGAGAAAAAGAATAAATTCAGGATGAGAGAAAAGAGAAGGGGAATAAAAGGGAAGAACAGAGAAAGGGGCAACAAGCCAGTCCGTACAGGGGCATGCAGATGTATGCACGCATTTGTAAGCCCCACGCTACATTCTGAAGTATTCCAGCAGCTCCTCATGGCGAGTCGACCAGCATGGCTTCAGCCCCACTAGGTCCTACGTAGGCCATTTACTGTCTCAGCTCCTTACGGTCAGCTCTATCACACGTCTTTTGAAAATACAAATTTGTTGTTTTTTTAAGAATTATTTTATTTAACTTTATTTATTTATTTATTTTAATTTGGCCAGGGAGGGACAGAGCAAGAGAGAGAGAGAGAGAGACAAAGAGAGGGAAAGTGAGAAAGTAAGCCACCAGGTCCAGGACTGCGGTCGGCCATGTGGAAGTCTAGCACCTGTAACCACCATGCCATCTTCTGGCCCGACAAATTTGTTTTTAAATGATTGATGTATCAGAGAACATCTGAACATCTGAACATACAAATTTCACAGTTTGTATGAAACCATAGTATGTGTGGTTTCATTGAGGAGAAATGTCAGTTCGATACAAAAGGCTGCAGCGAATTGCAGAGCTTCACACTAATACACAGAAAGCATTCACTCTCCCAAATGTCTATCTACCAGTGACCTCAGTTCACCTGTTAGGAGCCATGTCCACCCGTGTCTGGGGTCACAGAGAACCCTCCTTTCACCCCTCACAGTAACATAAGAATTGCAACTCTTCATATGCACTCTTCATAAGCAAAGTGTAGGTGTTTATTAAGATAAAGGGCATATTTACTGTAGTATTTATGTATTTCTTAACAATCTAACATGCAGAAAACTGCGTTATTGTTTTTACCAGGTTCCTATTTATGAGTCACTGATGAAATCTGTCAGTATGGTGGCCCCTAAGCCTGTGGCTGTTATTATGCAACTGTGCACAGCTGTGGTTATGAACACATATGTTGCATTATAATGGAACTGACTGGACTTTGTTTATAATCACTCCCTGCCTATACCAGGAATGTCCTTTCACCCGTTTTTGCATTTAAAATAGTAGCTGACTTCCAAGATCTTGCTCAAATCCTTCATTGGCTCAGAACTAATAAGCGTGGCCGGCAGGTGGCGTGGTGGTTAAGGGTGCAGGACTACCACGTGGCCAACTGTGGTTTGAGTCCTGGACCTAGCAGCTTGCTTTTTCACTTTCCCTCTCTCTCTCTCTCTCTCCCGCTCTGTCCCTTTATAGTCAAATTAAAATAAATAAATATAAAGAAAATAATTCTTAAAAAAAAGTGTGTGTGGGGGGGATTAGCAAGCTTTTCTGTTCTCCCACTGTACTTTGTATCTGGGCTATGTCTGCTTCTGACTTTTTTTTTTTTTTGTGAGAGGTTTTTGCTATAGGGCACGTGCGCTTGCCAGACAGACAGAGAGAGACAGAGAGACAGAAAGTGAGAAATCACCCCCCAGGGGGGATGGCCACGCCGCAATCCCTTCTCCTCCATTCTCCTCTTGGGATCTTGGGCACGGAGGCACACCCGCCTGGCGTGAGTTTTAAGTCACCGGGTCTGGGATGCGAACCGTGGTTGACTGCATGGGAGGTCCAGTAACAGCCATTACGCTAACTGCTGGTCCCTGCTTCGGACTTTCTGAATTGTGGTTCACACATGCTGGCTTCTCCCCTCCAAGGACAGGGACTCACCTTATTTGCATTTGTCATTGCCTCTTCCAAAAACTGTATCTTGCTCTGAAGGGCATCTATCTGACCCCTTTTGGCTGTGATTTGCTTTTGCATACCCATTGCCACTTTCATAGCTGGAGGAAGGAAAAAGAAAGCAAGTCGTACCTTAGTTGTATAGTTCGTGAGCCTACTGTGATTTGATGATTAAACTATGAGATGGTGACAAATCAGACTTACCAAGCGGCAGGGCAATTTCAGGGGAACGATCACAGAAAAATGGTCTTCAGTTTCATGATACTGGGCACAACAATTTTTAGCAACCACTTAGAGATTTTGAAGTGGCTTCTTTCTTTGCTACTTAAGTTCCTGTATATCTAATGGCAGCAATAATGCTGACCAAATTCATACTTACACATGCAAGAAATACGTGCATAAAATATATAGTCATATAAGGAATAATGCATATGATCTTTTTACTAAAATGATTTTCCCAGAAACTTCATTTTTAAAATACCACACAAGGCATCTACCATTAACGATCTTTTTAAAAGATCCCAGTGTTGTCAGAGAACATCCAGTTTCAGCCTCCCGTCTCGTCCTGAGGCTGGAGCGCACTGCTGTCTCGGTAGGCGGGTTGCCAGAATACACATGTGTGATTGATTCTGGAAAACTGGGGACAGGATGAGGACGCTCCAGGTGGGTATAAGGCACTAAATACGTAAGTCACGGCCAGCCACTGAGAAGCTACCTGAAGCTCATCCTTGTTTGGAATTTCAAAATGAGAAGATTTTATGTTTTTCCTTAACAGTTGGCTAAGGAAAGAGATTTGAAAGTGCCACTGCTTTGGCTAGAGTGTAGAGATTAAAAAGAAAAAAAGAAAATGTACCATTTGTAGGGGCCAGCAGGAGGCAAGGTGCTTAACGCACTGGATACAATATGGCCAAACCACAGGTTTGAGTCCTGGACCTGGCGGCCTGAAAAGCATACCGGGCATATGGGTGTGTATGCCCAAAATCCCGAAAGAGAATGGAGGAGAAGGGATTATGGTGCGTCCGTATCCCCGGGGGGTGATTTCTCACTTTCCCTCTCTCTGTCTGTCTGTCTCTGGTGAGTGTGTATGCCCCCTATGGTAGAAACCTAAAAAGAAAAAAAGAGTATCATGGGTGGCTTTCAAAGGCAGTTTTCTCATATAAATCGTTTAAATTTTTTAAATTTTAGCTAGTTTCAATCAGTGAAAACAAACATTTGAATGTGAACACCAGAATTACTTAAGTAACTTAATTATTGTAAAGTGACTGGGCTTGTGGAGATGCCTGGAAGGTGCTGACACAGGATGCCATCTGGGGTGGGCAGGTGGGCTGGGGGGCACCTCTTCAGACACCACTGTTCTCTCGGTGTTAACCAGCAAAGGGCCAAACCGCCAACAACTGCACCAAATACAGAACACTTTGCGGACCTGCATGTCACCCGCACAGGAGCTCCGATAATCGCTCTGCATTGTTCTTATTTTAGTGCATGTGTGGCCGAAGTGAGTGCCAAAATAAATCCTCTGAAGTTACCGAACACTGAGAAACAGAGAAGTGTAGAAGTAGATAAACACGAGTTCTTACAGTCTGCTCCTTTGTCATATCAACAATGACACGAGCGATCGGAAACAGCAGACAACTTTCTTCTCTCTGCATCAGTATGGCAGCAAGGCATCAAGAAACAGGAAACAGATCTAGAGGGTGAGGGGACCCCTCTGCCAGCAGCTTGATCTCCAGGGTCCCTTCTGATCTGTATCAGAGAAGGAATCGCTGCGCCAGTTCACTGTAGATCTATAGCTATGTAGACGATGTACACGTGGAAAAAATAAGGGCTAAATAAAACTGGCAAGTATATTTACTGGGTCATCAGAACAGCCATGATGCATTTGTGCTTAGAAACATACATCACGACTTTTCCAATAACCCAATATATCTCTAGAAATAATCGACATTCACAAATATTGAGATATGTGAGGAATTATGGAAATAGTAGCTGAAAGAAAGATTCAGATATTTTAGGAATTAACTTTTAGGCAATGTCTCCAAAAACAACAGAGTAGAACTACTGCTGTGTAATACCCAGGACTGATACCTATTGCTGGACAGTGGCCCCCTACTCATCCATGGTGACTGTATTCCAAGACTCCAGTATGTGTCTGAAACCAATGATGGTCTATGTGCTAGGTCTCTATCTGACACTGAGACAGCTACTACGTGGCTACCATTAAGGCAGCAACTACAGCGCTGACACGCTGGACAGAGAGATGACATGAAGGCAGCACCCACAGCATTGACCCACTGGACAGAGAGATGACACGAAGGCTGCACCTACAGCGCTGATACACCGGACAGAGAGATGACGTGAAGGCAGCACCTACAGCATTGACCCACTGGACAGAGAGATGACGTGAAGGCAGCACCTACAGCATTGACCCACTGGACAGAGAGATGACATGAAGGCAGCACCTACAGCGCTGATACACCGGACAGAGAGATGGCATGAAGGCAGCACCTACAGTGCTGATACGCCGGACAGAGAGATGACACAAAGGCTGCACCTACAGCATTGACCCACTGGACAGAGAGATGACACGAAGGCTGCACCTACAGCGCTGATACACCGGACAGAGAGATGACATGAAGGCAGCACCTACAGTGCTGACACGCCAGACAGGGAGATGACTCATGTCCCTAGTGGGACAGAGAGGGATGAAGTGAGATTTCATCATGCTGCTCAGAACAGCATGCAATTTAAAACTCACACATTGTTTAGTTCTGGAATTTTCCATTTACAGTTGGGACCGCAGTTGACTCCGTAACTATAACCATGGAAAGCGAAACCGTGGGTGGGGAGGGGATCCCTGTGTTATATCCTCTGGCTCTGCGAGGCAGTGGCAGCAATGCACCTGGGCTTGTGAGTTCATGGTTTGGACCAGTGGAATGAAAAACTTAAAATCTAACAGAGCATACCATGGCCATCGGATCCTTCCATGGACTTTAATGTATTTCTTGTTTGTTCAAGTTCAGACTGTGCAGATTTTAGTTGCATTTTCAGCTTATTTGTAGTGGTTTCCATTTCTTCACTTTTGTTTCGAAAATTCCTTTTTAAGACTTCATAGTCCTCTGTACAATATGATAACCAATAATAGATGGTTACTTTTTTTCTATCCCATCACTATGAAGTATAGTTTATTTGCAATTAATGAGCTGGAAGAGAATTCACTTAGTTACATCTCCACTTCATTTCTAGGGATCTGCCTGACTTTTTAATCTGCTAGGTAGATGCTCCTCATCTATACACTCATTGTTTTTTTCCGAACCACCGTAATTATCTAACATCTAGTGGGTGGTCAGAAAAGTCATGATGTGTTTTTCTGTTTTTCTATGTAAAAATGCACCATGACTTTTCCGAGGATTCAATATTTCATCTTAAAACTTCATCTTGGGTGGCCACACCCACTTTACCAGATTTAACCACCATAAAGGAGTCTCCATGACATTGTAAGGAATCTGAAGCTGCCATGTATCTTATCTGACTTTTAAGGCTCAGTACCTACCAAATATCTGGCACAAATTCATCACCCGCTATATTGGAGCGTGCGCGTGCACGTGCACACTCACCCACATACGTTTGTACAGGATATTTACAGATTTACATAGAAAGGAAACAAAGATCCGGCTCCGCTTACCCAGACATCTCTGTGCAGAAGTCCTAGAGCCACCTGAAGCCAGCTGTGTCACACCGACACTGACTGCGTCTCATATCTGCCCCTCCCCCTGGCTCCGTCTCAGCTGTTGCTGTGACTGTTCCTCCACCGTCACAAACTAAAAACCGGAAGCCTCAACTTAACTCCTCCAATTACTAAGTCCTGTTGATCCAACTTCCAAAAAAAATATTAATTCCTCCTCTCCTTCCAGCCTCACTGCCGTCGCCTTAGTTCAAGTCCTCATCACATTTCGCGGGGTCACCGTGAGGTCCTCCACGGGGTGGGGCGGGGCCTTGCCCTTCTGCACGTCACCTGCTACCAGCCGTCCTCAACTCTGACAGCACCATCTCCTCCTTAGTAGCCCTTGCTGGCTCGGCACCGTCTGGCTCTAGCTGCCTATCCCGCCTCATTTCCTAGTCCTCACTGTTCTGTACTGCTGCTCCGACACTTCGAGGACAACCTTGTTAGAGCGCATCATGTCCCCACGCTTTTGCGCATGAAGTTCCCTCTGCCTGGAATGTCCTTCCACCTCTCTTTTTCACCTGCCAAATTCCTTTTCCTCTTTCAACCTGTACAGATATCGCTTCCTATTGGAGGTGACATCTCCAGCCTTGGGCTGTCTTTGCTTATACCCAGCACTGTCCAGTGCACCTCATCCACTGTCCGGGGTCCACTGCTACAGAGGACAGTCTCCCCGCCAGGCTGTGAGCTTCGCCGTGGTGTTCTAGGACCTATCGCAGTGTCTGGCATCGTACATGCTCAGCCATCAGTGATACTGAGTGTGAGTGTGTGTGGGTGTGTGCGTGTGTACACGTGCACCCATAAGGTCAATGACATTGTACCACACTAACCGTGCACTGGAGTGTTTCACTGTTTAATATAAAGCCATGGCTCTTCCCTTTCCATAAATTTGCATACGTCTGCTTACATGTGCCGCTCACTATGAAACCTCTCATCAAGCTCTTTGACTCAAAGGACTCGAGGTTTCCCCATCCATCCAAGTCAAAGTTCTTTGTGCAAACAGTAGGATTTACAGTAACGCTTGCTCCTTCTGGGAGCCTGGAAACCGTATACCTTGCCCTACTCTTGGGAACTCAGGACAGGATTTCTGGGCCCAAGGGCTGACAAAAGTTGCTGGTTTTTGACTGCAAGGTATGCAAGCTTTTCCTGGAAGGCTCTAAGGGTCTCAGACCACGAATGACTCCATGGGGAGCACGACCACCCACACTTGTAGTGCGAGAAGGGTCCCCTGCTGCTGCAGGGTCCACCCTGGGCTTCAGGGAGAGCGCTCCAACTCTGTACTGGGGTTTCAGTGGGAACGACGTACCGGAAAGACTGTTCAGTTCGCTCCGACCGGCCTTCACCTCATTCAGTAGCTGGTCTCGCTCCTGTTTGATGTCCTTCACTGCGCGGAGCCTCTCTGAGCCCGCGTTTACCAGCTTCACCTTTTCCAGCTCCAGGTCACTCACTCTGGCCTCGAGCTCCCGGATCTTTGCATCTTTTTTATCTTTTAAAATCTAAATATATGGGTAAATATAAAGGACAGAGGAAGAAGTAAAAATATATACTCATGTATAGTTACAATTGATGTTTTCTTAATATCCTATTTGTATTTAGTATCTTTTCATTATTTCTCAGGACACTAAGTTTGCATTTTATTATTAAGTACCAAGAGTAGGTAGGAAAAAAAAAAAAAAAAGAACACTTGCCTTTCTTTTTTCCTGAGATGTCAATTCCCAGAATCATTTGCCACAATACTTCATTATTTTATATGTACTCATGGAGAACTACGTACTGAGCACCTACTTTGTAACAGGAACTGTTCTGTAGTTTGGGGGTGCAGGAGCAGAGTGGGGATTGGTAGGGAGAGGAGGGGACCTTGATAAAGCTCTCCAAACCAGGCATCTCTCCTGCCTTACCCTGGTCTTGGCCCTGGATGGCACTAAAAAAAACAGTGTCTCTATCTTCATGTCCTCCTCTAGGTAGAGGAGAAAAAAACCCAAACACATATTTAATATACCAGGTAAGAGGAGTGACAAGAAAAAGAAAAGCTATGAGGGGGTAGAGAAGGAATGTGAGAGACATTAAAGAGTTATTAAAATAGCAGGCCTCAGGACCAGCAGGTGGTGTAATGACCCACGTGGAGGACTGCACGTTTGAGTCCTGGACCCAGAGGCATGAGAATCACCACAGGCATGTGTGTGTGCATGCCCAAAATCCTGAAGGGGGAATGGAAGAGAAGGGATTGTGGCATGGCCATCCCCCTTGTGAGGGGGGGAGTGATTTCTCACTTTCTGTTTCTCTCTGTCTCTCTGACTAATGCATGTGCCCTAAAGCAAAAATCTCTCAAAGAAAGAAAAATACAGCAGGCCTCACGGCTATCCTTAGCAAAGCCTGTTTGCTGGGCTGGCCCTTGGCTGGCATCCAAGAACTTGGATTTCAGGAGGGTTCTCCCCACCCTAGTAGCTGAGTGGCCCAATGTGCTCGAAATGCTATGGGAACAACATGGTTTATGCTCAACACCTTCTTTCCTCCTGGGAGCCTGGACTCCGATACTGACCAGGCATGGAATGTCTATGTGACCAACCCGCAATCTAACAACCCTGGGTATGAGTCTCTATTGAGCTTTTCTGGCTGCATTTGACAGGTGTTGTCACTATTTTTTGCCGGGAGAATTAAGCCTGTCCCATGTCACCTCCTGAGAGATGACTTGGAAACCTGAGCCTGATTTTCTCTGGACTTTGCCCCATGGGCCTTTCCTCTTTTTTTCATCCTTTCACTGTACTGCATGACAGCCATGAGCACAGCTACATGTGGAGTCTTCTAAGTCCTTCTGAGGAAGAATCGTCCAACCTGGGGTTGGTGTGGGGGACCCTGACCAGCTGGTCAAGAAAGGCCTCTCTGATGAGTTAACATCTGATCAGAGACCCCAAGGAGACAAAGGTGTAGTCCCCGTGGGTAGCTGGGGGAAGTTCTGGGTACAGGAAATGCGTCTGAGGACCAGCAAGGCCATCGGTGTGGAGTAAGCACAGGCGGAGCAGGAGGTGAAGTCAAGGTCGAGTTGGCCTCAAAGGCAACGTAAGGGCTGGAGAGACAGCCGTCCAAGCACGGAAGAGGCCACTGCACAGGGAGCTGGATGAGGGCGCAGGGGTAACGTGTAACGCTCTGGGAAGCTGGCCTACATAGGAAGAGATTTTTAAAAATTCAACTATACCTTCACTGGAGCATATCAGCATGCGAGAAGACACTCCCACCTGCACCACGCCAGTTAGGAATAGCCATGAAAATGACCAGAACTACCCTAAGAAAGCCAGGAAATGGGGTTCCAGGAAAATCACTGCTCCCTTCCCGGAAAAGTACTGAATAAACAGCCCCTTACTCAGCTGGGCATTAAGCCAAGCTGCATAAGCCAGACACCCACCGAAGCTTGGGCCTGCCCGGCCTGTGAGGTAGCCTTTCTATCTTTCCTTTTGGGTAACTGCTCTCCCCTTCTTCTCAGAGGATGGAAAAAAGTCTGATCACCATCTCCTCTCCCGGGGCTGCTCCACCTATGGAGTCCACTCTACACCTTTCTTAGTGAGCCTGCGTTCACTCTCCCTCAAAAGCTCACTCTTGGATTCTTTCCTGTGGGAGCCAAGGACCCTCATAACCGGGGTAGAGACCCCCTCGGGTTAAATCTCCCAGGCAATAAATCTGAACCAGTTTTGGGCCATTGATCTATTTTAGAATCTGATAAAAATATTTACTATTTTTCACCAAAATACACTCACACACGGACACAAATACTTTCAAGCAGTTTCAGAGGGTTCACAAACACTGAGGACCCCTTTTCAGTAAATTAAGTCATACTTCCTTACGGCAAAACCCAAACAAACCAACAAACAAAAAAAAACAAAGGCTTCACAGACGTGAAATCACCGAACTGCTCTGCAGACCTTGAACTCCTGCAGCTCCAGTCTCCTATCGTTAATCTCCTTCTCCAGCTGGGCCTTCTCCACTTGCATGGCACCAGCGGTTCGTCCGTGCTGGCCCACCAGCTGGGTCATGTTTTCGATCTGCTGTCGCAAGATCTCGATCACCTTGTCCTTCTCCGCCATCTGGAGCTTGAGGGCCTCGCATTCCGTCTGCACGTTCCGGAGGTGATCCCCTTCGTTCTTCAGGTGCTGCAGCTCCTGCAGTTTCAAGTCCACCCGGGAGCGGAGCTTAGTGATCTCCGCGTTGGTGGCCTCGATGGCTCTCTCTTTCTCCTGGAGGGAGGCTGTCAGGTCTGACACGGTCCTCTCCGAGCTCTCCAGGGTCATTTTCTTGGCCGTCAACTCTTCCACGACTTTGCGCAGCATCTCTTTGGTGGACTCGAGCTGGGCAGTCAAGGAGGACACTTTCTCTAGGCTTTCGTTCTTGCCCTGAATGGCTGCCATCTGTTGTTAAAGAAGAGAGACTCTCGTGGATTCGGGAGGCTGAGTACAGGCAGCCTCGAGAGAGAGCGCGAGCTAGTGAAATCATGAGTCAGGCAACACCTACTCACGTGGAGGGCTCTGCAGTCAGAACTCCAGACCTCAGCGTGGGCAGGACAGACATGTTAATGAGACCAAGGTGGAGAGGCCTTCATCTTGCCCTTCCATCACGGTTTTCTTTTCTTTTCTTTTTTTTTTTTTTTTGCTATAGGGTGCCCATGCTTTCCGGAGAGACAGAGAGATTGAAAGTGAAAAATCACCCCCTCTCCCCCAGTGGGGATGGTCATGCCACAATCCCTTCTTCTCCATTCTCCTCTCGGGATCTTGGGCATGCACGCACACATGCCTGGTGTGAGTTTAAGCCACTGGATCTGGAACACGAACTATGGTTGACTACATGGGAGTCCAGTAATGTACGCCATCTGTTGGTCCCTCCATGATGGTTTCCTAGGGTGGAGAACTCAGTTCCTTGTGAGGACTTTCCAGTTCCTATTTAGATGAACACAACACTGACAACAGGAACAGGATGGGGCCAGCAGGCTGCACAGTGGTTAAGACACTGGATATCCACATGGGTGAGCCCTGGACAGGGCGGCTTGAAACTCATGCCAGGTGTGTGTGTGTGCGCACGTGTCCAGAATCCTGAGAGGAGAAGGGACTGCACATCCTCCCCCAGGGGGTGATTTCTCGCTTTCTGTTTCTCTGTCTCTTCAGCAAGTTCACACATCCTATAGGAAAAAATCTCCAAAAGACAAACAAAACAAAACAAAAAATACTGGCTATAGGGAAGAAGGGTGGTAGGCTTGACAATAACTATCCTTATTCTCCCCTCCAACGGTCCCCTTAATTCAACCTCTTGGGGCAGGCAGGTGGTGTGGTGGCTAAGGTGCTGGACTCCCACGTGGCTGACCATGGTTCAAGTCACCCAGACCTGGTGGCTTGCTTTCTCACTTTTTCTTTCTTTCTGTCTCTCTGTGGTAAAGTTAAAAAGAAATAATAATAACAAATAAAATTAAGTAACATAAATAAATAAATATTTTAAAAATTCTACCCCTGAAGATAAAAATAAATGGCTTTATTTTTTTAAAGGAAGCAATATCTTTTGTTTTTCTATTTTTATTTTTAATTTCATTTATTTATTATTTATTTATCTCTCTCCCACCAGAGAGGGATGGAGAGAAAGAGGGAAAAAGGGAGAAAGCAAGCCACCAGGTCTGGGACTCAAACTGTGGCTACATGCTAATCTAGCGCCTTAACCACCATGCCACCCACCAGCCCCCAAATGAAGGACTTTTACCCAACACACACTCACACTCTCCGGCACACGATTAGAAAAGACCATGACCACGACCTCCAGTTGCATCCCAGCTTTCTGCCTGCCCAGGTTATGCTGGGGCACGGGCAGGCGGCTTTGCCTGGTCTGAGCCAAGTCTAGTCCCTGGTTTGTCCCACATTTTGGGACGCCCACCCTTTTACGGGGCGCTTCTCATGCCTCTGGGGCAGTAACTGGCATTGGAACCATGCCTTTCCAGTTCCGAGTTCCTTTGCTATCAAGAAGCAGTCCATGGGGCTGGCAGGTGGCATGGTGGTTAAGGGTGCTGGGCTCCCACATGGCTGACCATGGCTCGAGTCCCGGACCTGGCAGCACAGTTCCCCATCTTATTCCACCCAACCTATAAGAGCTTAGGTGTGTTTCTCAGAGCTTGGCCCTCAGAAATCTCCCAACTAAGCAGATAGGAAAGGGGTGCAGAAGTGACAGTTCTGCAGAGAAGACACAATCCACCTCAGACTAGGCTGTTGAAGAACAACTGACCCAATGATGTCATTGGGGATAGTTCAGTCCTCTCTCCAGGCATCTCTGGTGGTGGGGAGAATGCAAAAGTGGACCTCTATCCCTCTTTTAAATGAGAACCCAGGATTTAGAAAAAATTAGTGTGGTCTTGGGGTCTGGCTGTCATAAGCTCTTTTTAAAAAATATATATTTATCATTATTATTATTATTATTATTAATTTGCTACAGAGAGAGACAAGGGGGCAGGGGTAGTAAGAAAGCAAGCCACCCCATGGCTCGAGTCCCGGACCTGGCAGCTTGCTTTCTCACTTCCTCTCTCTCTCTGTCCCTCTCTGGTCAAATTAAAAAAAAAAAAGTAAATAAATAAAGTTAAAGAAAATAATTATAAAAACAAACAAACAAAAAGCAGCAGCAGCAGCCCACATGTGACTACTGGGCAGCTGGAGTGGAGAACTCGTGTCCTCTGTACACACCAGTCTCCGCCAGCGTGGGGAAGGCGGAAGGACGATGTTGTAAGAAAAACCAAAACATCTCATGAGAACTTTCAACCCTACTGCTCCTTGGATCTCACAGCACTCGATAGTTTTCGTGGCAGAAATAAGCAATTACCAGGTTATCGATTGCTAAGTGAAACTGAAAAGTCTTTTCATGTTGCTTTTTAAACAATGCACAAATGAAAAAAACTTAACATGTTTACTTTAATGAGTGATCAAAAATAAAGAAATAGATACCAGTGTTTTGTAAATCGCTCAGAGAGTCCATGGCTTTCTCTATTTTAAACTCTATCAACAGACATGAAAGCGAGAAGGGGGCGCAGGCAGGGCTGCCACTGACCTGCCGCTCCATCTGGCCCTGACACTCGCTCTTCATGGCCTTGAGCAGGGCCTCCAGGCGCTGCACCTCCATGTTGCGGTCGTCCAGCTCCCGCCGCAGGTGGTCGATGGTGATGCTGTTGCCCGTGTCCCGGTCCCACAGACGCTTATTCTGCTCCTTCTCCAGGCTCAGCTCCTTCTCCCTCTTGTGGAGATCAGCCTAAGAGAAGCACAAAAGGCTTTCTTTCCCCTACTAGTATTAAATAGTTAAAATAAAGTGCTATATGGGGGGGCAGCAGGTGGCGTAATGGTTTAGGCACTGGACTCCCTACGTGGCTAACCACAGTTAGAGTCCTGGACCTGATGGCTTGAAAATCATGCCAGCACATGCGCCCAAAATCCCAGGAGGAAAATGGACGAGAAGGGATTGTGGCATGGCCAACCCCCCTTGGGAGGAGATTTCTCACTTTCTTTCTCTCCATTTTTGGCGAGTACAGGTACCCTATGGCAAAAACCTAAAATAAATAACAAAAAACTACTTTCCTCGGACGAGCAGATGGCGTCATAGTTATGTCACTGGACTCCCATGAGGTTGACTGAGGTTTGAATCCCAGACCCAGTGGCTTAAAACTCACGACAGGTGAGTGTGCATGTGTGTCTAAGATCCAGTGAGGAGAATGGAGCAGAAGGGACTGCAGCATGGCTGTCCCCCTGGAGGGTGATTTCTTGATTTCTGTCTCTCTCTCTCTCTTCCCCCAAGTCTCTCTGGCAAGTGCATGCACCCTATAGCAAAACTCTCTCTTGGGACCAGCAGATGGCATAATGTTTACATTGCTGGACTCCCATGTAGTTAACAGTGGTTCAAATTCTGGACCTAGTGACTTAAACCTCATACCGGGCACATGTGCAGGTGTTCCCAAGATCCTGAGAGGAGAATGGGGGACCAGCAGATGACGTAATGGTTACGTGCTGGACTCCCATAGAACTGACCGAGATTCGAGTCCCAGACCCGGTGGCTTAAACCTCATGCCGGGGTGTGTGTGTGTGTGTGTGTGTGTGTGTGTGTGTGTGTATGCCCCAAATCCCGAGAGGAGAATGGAGGAGATGGGATTGCAGTGTGGCCATCATCTCTGGGGGGTGATTTCTCTCTCTCTGTCTGGCGGCGCACACACCCTATAACACAAATCTCGTTTAAAAAAAAAAAATCCTGAGAAGAGAATGGAGAAGGGTTTGTGGCATGTCCATCCCCCCAGGGGGTGTTTTCTCACTTTCTGTCTCTCTGTCTCTCTGGAGAGCACTTACACCCTATAACAACAACAACAACAACAAAAATTCCCTTTAAAAAAAAACATTCAAAACAAAAAAAAACTTAATTTTTAAATCTGATTTTTTTTCTTACTTCTTTATGAGAGAGAGAGAGAAAGAAGCATTTTGACGGTGTTTTGCTGTGTCGTGATCCTCACGCACCTGCCTCTCGGCTAGCTAGAATCACAGACCCATGCAGTCATGCCCAGTACATGCAGGTTGGTCCAGGAACAACACCTAGGCCTCCCATACGACTTTCAGTCTCCCAGGGGTGTGGCACTTACCTGCGCGCCACTGCAGCTGGGCCTGGTTCTTTTTATTCTTTTAAAGTTCATTTGTTTATTTCATAAGCAAGATAGAGAGAGAGAAAGCCAGGCATCCCCAGCAGGGTCTTCCCCTCGGTTCTTCCCCTAGGCCTCTCAGTCAGCCAGGGTCACAGGCACACACGCCATGCCTGGTGTGTGCTGGTGGGCCGGGGGATGAACCACGTGCTCCAGCACCACGGAGCCACATGCTACTGCCCTGCCACCACGGCTGGGCCCTGGTTCTTTTCTAATAGCTTAACTGAGAGCAATTATTTCCTATTAAAAAAAAAAAGATAATGTTTTGCTTACTTAAAATTTTTAGTGGGCCAGCAGGTGGCGTGGAGGTATGGTGGCTGGATCCAATATGGCCAACTCCATGGTTAGAGTCCTGGACGAGGTGGCTTGAAAATCACCCTGGGTATGTGTTTACACATACCAGAAATCCTCAGAGAATGGAGAGGGCACTGCAGCATGGCCATCCCCCCAGGGGATGCCTCACTGTCCTTGTCTCCCTGGAGAGTGCACATGCCCTCCAGCAAAAACACTAAGAAAAAATAAAATAAAATAAATTTTAGCATTAAGCATTAAACATTAGACTTCACATAACGAGAGGCACGCGGGAGCGGGGAATGCTTCAAAGATTCATAGAAAAACGGGATTAAAATACAAAAAAAAAATCTTGGGTACACAAAAAATTTGAAATCCATGCATAGTTTTTTCATAGTATGGATTTTCCATCAACATTTTCAAATTCTCTAGTACACAGATTTCATAAGCAAAATTTGAATAGCATCTAGGCTATTCTACCACCTGTATGTGCGCATATTTCATAAAATTTCTAATTTTTATAAAGGAAAGAAACTAGTTTTTTTTAATGTTTTGGTAAAAACAAAAACAAACAAACACCGAAACTTCCCAGAATTGACCTCATTTCTATTTGGGAACACAGTCTTACCAGCAGCTTTTGAAGCTGATCGTCCAGATTCCCAGACTCCTGACTGAACTGGTCACGCTCCGTCCGTGCTTCAGTTAGCTCTGAGTTGGCGAGGACTAACTGCTTCTCCAGCTCTTCTATCTAAAAGAAAAGCACAAATTGAACCAAGCCAACTACACCGATGGGTCACACAAACTAAATATAGTCCTTGGAAGACAAATGCTATTATTTTGGGGACAAAAATACAGGTTTATTGTGTTGTGGTTTACAAAGTTTTCTACATTTGAGATGTACTGATATTAAGAACATGGCCAGGGAATTAGCTAAAATAGGGTATTTGGTACGACTGGATTTGGGCACTGTCTGGGATACAGAAGCTCCCCAATTTATGACGACTAGACTTACTATTTATTTTGACTTTACGATGGTGCAAAAGTGATAGACTTCCAGTAGAAACCATACTTTTCAGAAGTATTCCAGGAGGCCAGCAGGTGGCTTAGTGGTTAAGGCACTGGGCTTAACTATAGTGGCATGGCCATCCCCTTTCAGGGGGATGATTCCTCACTTTCTCTCTCCGTCTCTGTCTTCTCTTTGGTGAAAACATGTGCCCTATAGCAAAAATCTCTCTTTTAAAAAAAAAGTAGTAGTCTAGGGTCTAGTAGGTGGCATAGTGGTTAAAACACTGGACTCCCACATGGTCGACTGCGGCTCAAGTCCCAGACCCAGCGGCTTGAAAATGCTGAACACATGTGCACCTGTGCATGCAGACTTGATCTGTGGTTAGTCATGTGGGACAGCTTAAGTGTCGCCCTTAAGAGCACCAACTTTTTTTTTGGAGAGTTTTTTTGGTTTTTGGGTTTTTTTGGCTATAGGGCGTGTGCACTTGCCAGAAAGACAGACAGACAGAAAGCGAGAAATCACCCCCTGAGGGGATGGCCACACCACAATCCCTTCTCCTCCATTCTCCTCTCGGGATCTTGGGCACACATACACACGTGCCTGGCATGAGTTTAAGCCACCAGGCCCGAGACTCAAACCATGGTCAACTACATGGAAGTCTGGCGATGTAGCCATTGTGCCACCTGCTGGTCCCAAGAGCACCAATTTTAAAGGACTGTTATAAACATATTTTTGCTTCACTGACAGGGAAGCTGTCATCTGTTTGAACGTGTACTTCCATGACAGATGCCACAGAGCCCATTACTAACGCGTGCCTACAGCTCTTGACCTCTGGGTGTGGTGTAGGCTAAGAGGTTACAACCTCAGCCTCTGGATTCGCTGGGTTTGGACGTGACTTTGCCCTAAGATATTATAACTTAGATAATGAGACAGTAAAATGAGAACATGTCGGTATTTGTAACACGTTACATAATCCTATGAAGAAATTCTCTTATGCTCCTTTGAGGCCTATTTAAAAAACAATACACACATACACACATACAAAATTCAACCTGTGTAGCACAAGCAACTTAACGAAAATGAATAAACAGCATCAGTTGCTATAATACCGTCAGTTCTGTTATTATCAGCAAAGACTAAGTCAGCACACAACAAGTAAAGACAAAGAATACTTGGGGTGGGCCAACCTGCCAGCCCCATAGAGCAACAGTGAGGTGCAGCTCACAGAGAGTCAGAGCACACATTGCCATCTGTGGTTCAAATCCTGGTCCTGGTGGCTTGAAAGAAAAATGCTGGTGCATGTGTGCGTGCCCCAGATCCTAATAGGATGGAAAAATGAAGGACTGCGGCATGGCCATGCCCCACTGGGGCTGCTTTCTCTCACTCTCTGATGAATGCATGCACTCTCTAGCAATTAAAAAATAAAAATAAATAAAAAGAATACTTAAGGGAAGAACTACAAACTTCAACTGTTACATGCAAGGGGTGGGTGGGTGAATGTGACTGAGAGGCAGTGTGACCAGGCTAAGGCCAAATGCCTCCCATTCTGTCGTATACCCTCGCTTAGTCTCATTTTTTCCCACCTGTATTTTGAAAGGAGTATTTTAGATTGAATACTAGAGAATATTGCATAGTCTTTTCAACTCTGTTTGTATGAATACTACAGGATATTTCATATTCCTTTCAATTCTGTTTCTATACTTTTTATACAAGAAGAATAGCATTAATAAAGCTGAAATTCTCTATTTTTCACTTGGTGTTTGAGCTATAAATTAAACAAAAACCCTTTGGTTTTGAGCTAATCATGACTAAAACAAACATTTTCTACTCCTAAATTGGCATAGGCCACTTCTACTTTTGAGCAAAGATATATAGATACTATCTATATCTATATATATACTATCTACCTATCTATATATCTATATATACATCTGCTTTATCAGCTTAAATTAAAATTTGCTATTTCTTTTTTTCACATTAAAAAAAAACAATCCAAATGACCATTTCCTAACATCAAACTAGTAAAATCCAAGACCAAAACAATTTTTTTATCTAAGCTCACATTTTATTAATTTTTCTCTTTAAATATTTACTGTAATTTATGATTTACATATAATCTTACATATCTTTGTAAGTTATAGGATCGTCTTTAAAGCATGTATACAGTGTGTGATGAACACATTGAAGATATAAACATATTCACCACTTTCAACGTTTTTTTCTTTCTTTTTCTTTTGGAGAGGTTTTTGCTATAGGGCATGTGCGCTCACCAGACAGACAGAGAGAGACAGAGAGACAGAAAGCGAGAAATCACCCCCCAGGGGGGATAGCCATGCCGCAATCCCTTCGCCTCTATTCTCCTCTCGGGATCTTGGGCATGCCCGCACACGCACCCGGCGTGTTTAAGTCCCGGGTCCAGGACTCGAACCATGGTCAACTACGGGGGAGTCCAGCGACATAGCCATTACGCTAACTGCTGGTCCCACTGTCAACGTTTAATATTATGTTATGAACATTTGAAACTTGTTCTAACGATTATTCTACAAGTAAGTCCTGAGCTGTTGATGATATTCTTTATGGTGAGAGACCAACATTTTTTTAGAAAGAAAGAAAGAAAAAGACGAGAGCCGAGTTTGGCTTTCCGCCTGTGTCCGAGGTGTGGAGGTCCCCGGCCCCTGCAGGGACGTTTGTCTGGAGCTGTCAGTACTGACTCAGCCGCCATAGCTCTGCTTTTACCTTTCACTTTGTAGAGCAAAAACACTCACAGCAACCCGTCAGTCAGAAAGATAAGTGGAGAGTGAAAGGGAAAACCACTGAGCCAGCAGCTGAGCGGATACAAACAGCTGTAAGAAACATGGTAAAGAAAGGCCTTTAAGAGCGTCCAGAATAAATACTGACATCTGACATACGTAAAGAATTTTTCTTTTTCTTTTCTGTTTTGATAGCAGCACTGGTTTTCCCTTTCTGGTTTGGACCACTGGACAAATGGGATCGCATTCCAATCTCAAACCGCTTTTAGAGGTATTTGCCAATGAGAGTTAAATCATAAGATTGGTTTTTTTCTTTTTTTGCTTTTTGGATTTTTGGGTTTGTTTCTGTTTTGGTGGTGATGTGTATCCCCTTTTCTGCGCTCAAAAACACAGCTACAGGATGGTGAGGGATGCTGTGGATCGCATGGAGGTGCGTGGGCAGGACCGTGCAAAGAGCTCTCACAGACTCTTCCTGCACAGCCAGTGCTACTAGGTCTTCGCTTTCTGAGTACGAAATTCAGCCCCGACTGCTGCTTTCAAAGTAGGAAAAATAAACCTAGGATCAGGATCATGGATGTTTTTGTTGTCAAAAAGCGAAAGTTAAGAGTAAAGCCAAATCTGCAGAGCCAATAGTGACAGCTTCTACTGGTCCAAATTCGTAAAGGGGCATTCTGGAGGTTCTCCTAAAGAGAAAGAGAAGAATAGAGAACAGCATTACAGTGAAACGTCTTCATGAGCTACAAACGCTACATCTAGTCATTTCTTTGAAACACAATTTCTGTTTCATCAATGTGAAAATATTTTTGCTAAGCTGAAGAGAAACATTATTCTCTTACACAAATTTTTTCTTAATGTATGCATTTGAATTGGAGAAGATTTGTTCAGACCTGTTGTCATCAATTATTTAGAATAATAAACACTTTTTTAAATGAAGGAATTTCACTGCATACTGCAATCCTCAAAGATGTATAATTATATGTAAATCAGAAATGACAATAAAATAGCTTTCAAAGTAATTCTACAAACTGAAGTAAAATAAAATCATATAAAAAGTTCAATATGTGAGACCAGCAGGTGGCATGGTAGTTAAGGTGTTGGACTGCCATGTGGCCGAAAGGTTCGAGTCCCGGACCTGGCAGCTTACTTTCTCACTTCCCTCTCTCTCTCCCTTTGTCTCTTGCTGACCAAATTAAAAAATAATAATAGTAAATAAAATAAAATGAAATAATCCTTAAAAAGTGAATGAGTTTTATTTTATAATGTGTGACTTTTCAAAAGGTTTAATTTGTTAATAAGCAATGAAGACATCATCTTTTCAGAAACATCCTAATAGTCATAAAAATTAGTTCTGAATATCAGAATATCTGTATTGGACCGGGACACAACAGCTCTATTTCCTCGCTGTTGGACTGTCTGCTCACTTCTGCCAACAAGCCCACCTCCGCTAGACTCAAGCAGTAAAGTACAGCTGCTGAGCCAAAATCAGGACCGTCCGCTGCTCGCAGCAGGGTCAGGTGGACATCCAGAGTGGGCGGACATTCTGCCATCAGTCATTGGGGAAAAAGCTAGTACAGAAAAAAGAAACTAAAACACACAACGCGGCCTTGGGGAGGCAGAAGAGCAAATGCTCCTCTCTGGGTGTTTCTCCAGGTCCGCCCGTCAGCTGTCCAAGGTATCTTAAGGTTGCCTGGTGGGGGCATTGGTGGATAGGTCCTGGCCTCAAGAATTTAGGCTAAGAGCTATGCAAAGGGGACACTGCTACTCATATGGCAAGCCACCAGTGAATCATGAAATCAGTTTAGTCAGCTTCAATCCATCCAGCATCTGAAGAGAACAGAAACTAGCCAGCATCACAGTAATTTGATAGCAGCACTGGTTTTCCCTTTCTGGTTTGGACCACTGGACAAATGGGATCGCATTCCAATCTCAAACCGCTTTTAGAGGTATTGCCAATGAGAGTTAAATCATAAGATCGTTTTTTTCTTTTTTTGCTTTTTGTATTTTTTGGGTTTGTTTCTGTTTTGGTGGTGATGTGTGTCCCCTTTTCTGCACTCAAAAACACAGTTACAGGATGGTGAGGGGTGCTGCGGATCGCGTGGAGGTGTGTGGGCAGAACCGTGCGAAGAGCTTTCACAGACTCTTCCTGCACAGCAAGTTTAGTGAAACTTGCACATGTGTATTGGATCATATGGTGAATTAATTATATTTCATACTCTTTTTAGTGATGAGAAATGTATGAAAGTCACTGCTCTGGAGGACCCAAATCTACAACTGAGATGGTACAGTTCCACATTACTCTATTGCTTAGACGTCAGTCAGGTTATATCTAAATCTTCCATCCTTCTCTTAACTAAGACACAGGGAATAAAGGTTTTGGTAGGGTTTTCATGCTTGAGCCAGGGAGAAACAGCTCCCTCCTGTGGCTGGCACCAGGTGACATTAAAATGAAGAGTGAGTGTTGTATTCAGTCCTCCCACACCCAGGTTTTTTCTCCTGTCCTGTTACCCCATACAGTTGGTATCACTTTACAAAGGGAGTCTGGTGGCTTTTTTTTTTTTTTTTTAATTTCTACGGAGCATGTGAGCTTGCTGGAAAGAGAGAGGAAAAGCGAGAAAGTACCCTCTGCAGGGGGATGGCCATGCTGCACTCCGTTCTCCATCCTCCTCTTGGAATTTTGGGCATACATGCAAACAGACCCAGCATGTTTTTTTTTTTTAATTTTTCTTTTATAAATATATATACACACCATATATATATATATTTTTCATCTGAATATCTTTACAATGCACAACATGGTTTTTCCCAACATAAATACAGGACATTTTATCAAGTCAAAGATTATCACATAGATTATCATCAACGGGTAACTTTTCACTTTTGCACCCAGCACGTTTTGCACCCAGGACTCCATCTGTGAAGTCAGCCATGTGGAATTCAGTGGCCTTAACTACCACGCCACTGGGCGGCTCCTGGCAGCTTTCTTACATGGTTTTTATTCTACCCTACAGTTCCAAATAACTAAGGTGTGAGAAACTGACTAAAAGTGATGGTCAGGACTGGACCTAAATTGTTTCTAAGGGTTTCCCATAGCAGGATAACTAAATATAGAATTTGTTTTCCAAACTGGGACACTCTGGAGATGAAATTCACAAAACGGGCCACTGGATAGCAGGTGTGAACTAAGACTACCCCAGGCTGACAGACACCCTTCTCATAGGGAACGAAGGACAGCAGCTCCTCTGGGTGGAAGCTCTCGGCTTGTTTTTTTTTTTTTTTTTAGGATCTTTACTGTTTGACAAATGGTTGAAATTAACAACAACAACAACAACAACAACAAAAAACCACTAAGCTCTGGAAAAATGGTCCATAGTGATAGTGAAGTGAATAGACTATTTAGCTAAGGAAAGTGAAAGAATAAAAACAATATCAAATGTTAATTTTAACTGGTTTTAAGAAGAATTATGTGATGAGGGATAGAGACTTATCTTCCTAATTTTTATTTAGTTAAGTGATTTAATCTTCAGATTAATTCAGCTTGCTAGCCACACAGTGATGACTAATCAGAAGCTGAAGTGAGAGAGAAGGTAGTCCCCCCCTCCCCCAGATATTGAAGGGTAGGGGAAGACCAGCTGGCACTGAAGCATTTGCTAAAGCTAAGCTTTCTAAGAATAACTAAGATGGTTTGTTTTTTATTTAATTTTTAAACAATTATTTGAAGTATGCAAAAATGTTTTTCTAAGAATGAATGAATTTGAACATACCACTTAAATTGTTGGCCTATAATAAAACAGATAATTTAGCATCCTCTTCCAGTTTATAAAATTCTTTTTTATTTTTTTTGGAGAGGTTTTTGCTATAGGGCGCATGCGCTCGCCAGAAAGACAGAGAGAGACAGAGAGATAGAAAGTGAGAAATCATCCCCCAGGGGAGATGGCCACACTGCAATCCCTTCTCCTCCATTCTCCTCTCAGGACCTTGGGCATGCATGCACATGCGCCTGGCGTGAGTTTAAGCCACTGATCCAGGATTCGAACCGTGGTTGATTACATGAGAGTTCAATGACATAGCCATTATGCTAACTGCTGGTCCCGAGTTTATAAAATTCTTTTCATTTGAAATTATTACTTTGACTCCTCATTTCAAATAAATCATTAAAAATATAAAATTGACCTGGGTATAATAGTTTCTAGAAGCAGAATGACAAAATCTAAACGCACCTTGTCTTCGTACGTCCTTTTGGCTTCCCTTAATTCAGAACGTAGCTGAGAAACCGTGGACTCCAGGTCGCTAAGCTGACGCATATACATTGAATTTTGGTTTCTTGCTTGCTCTCTACGAAGAGTTTAGCAAGGGGATAAAGTGAATGACAGACTAAGAATAAGTGTGATATCATCTATATGTTAAGTCATTTTTCTGTTCGTTTGAATGTTAGAAAGGTTTTACTTTCTTGTGAAATCAATTACTAAGCAATCATTAAAAGATCTTAGAGCAGAAAGTAAAATAAGATCTCCACAGTGAAGAGGAATGACTGCCAATGTCAAAGCCCCAGGACACACGTACTGAATGATCTCCAGCTGGCTCTGGATACTGTTGGCTTGGCTGCGGGCACTGCTGGCCTTCTCGGTAAGTCCTGTTATTTCAATGTCATGCTCACTTATTAACTGCTCAATCCTGTGAAAAAGAACGTGGTGATTGTTATTTAATACAGAAGATCTTGCCTGACTATGAATTATTTTAAAAATGAATGAAGGGGCCAGCAGGTGGAGCAATGGTTAAGGCACTGGACTCCCACATGGCTGAAAGCCATTCAAGTCCTAGACCCGGCGGCCTGAAACTCATGCCAGGTGCAGGGTCCGGGACACGAACCGCGGTCGACTACGTGGGAGTCCAGCGACATAGCCATTACGCTAACTGCTGGTTCCCGGGGTGATTTCTCACTTTCTCTCCGACTCTGTCTCTCCAGTGACCATACCTGCCCTATAGAAAAAAATCCCTCTACAGACAAACAAATGTAGTATTTTGCTTTGACTTTGTATTGGGTTGTTGGAGAAGTCATGATGCATTTTTGCACAGAAAAATATGTCATGGCTTTTCTGACAACCTAATATATGCTACTCTGTTTATGATAAGTGTCTATGACAAGTCTATAATCCTATATCTAAGGAGGTCAGTTGGGTTTTGGAATTCAGAATTTTTATTTTACATTGGTAATAAATAACAAGTACTATATATTGGGTTGCTGGAAAAATTATGACACATTTTTTGTATAGAAAATATGCCATGATTTTTCAGACATCTTAATAGTATATGCCACCCCCAGTGAGATCTATAGAAGTGTCCTGTAAAACAAATATCTTATGAAACCAACAATAAGTCCATAAATATTCACACTGTACTGTAGACTAGAAAAAGCTTTATGTTAGTTCGGGTCAGGTTACGTCAACAAATGAGTGACAAACTCTCCTTCACCAGACTTTAGGCTGGTCCCTCTTCTCGACTAGACCTGGATGCTGACTCACCTCTTCTGCCTTCGGGCAGCAGAGCCCAGTCTCGGCAAGAATCCTGCCAACTCAATTCAATGGGAATCCCCCCAACCCTTGATCTTTGGTCAAGTTCCTTCACTCCCACCCTTGACATGTACGTCCTCGGCCTGCCTTTGACAAGAACCTCACCACCGCCCTTGGTGTCTCCTGTCAATGATTTCCCAGACACTGATTTTCTCACCCCACTCGTCGTTACATTGGGAGTTGTGCTTAATCTCTGCCCCTACAGTTACTCCCCTACTGCACAGACTTGAATAAAGTCTTCCTTACATCTTTAGCAGGTGTCTGACAAAATTTTTTCTTTAATATGAGTTTGCCCCAAACCCATGGGGGTGGGAGGGAGGGAAGCTGGTACATTTTTCATCTTCTTGGATTTGGAGCTGTGGCTGTGAAAACATGAAACTGTGGTTTAATTTCACAGTGATTTTCTATACCCAGTCAGAACCTACCTATCTTGATGCTGCTGAAGAAGTAGTTCTATTTTGTTCTGTGATTCAGATTTCAGTGCTTCAAGCTGATCCTCTATCTGATTTTCAAAAACAGATATTAATTTCACTACTGATTAACCTAAAGTAGAAAATTTTGGAGATTTTCAACTAAAGAAATATTTTTAAAATATGCAAGTAAAATAGTACCAAAATCTGATATAGTCTATCACCGCATTTTATTAGATTTGTTTACTTTGGCTATCTGGGGGGACTTCAAGAAGTCCATTCCTTGGCCATCGAATATAAGCTTATACCAAGACACTCAGTTTTGCTCTCGCAAGGAATCTTTGGGAATAAATAGAAATTGGTAACAAAATGAGAACCTGGTTTACTTTGAAGAATTTTAAAAGTATACACCTAATACTATTCCCTTAAAGTATTCTAATATAAAATTGAAGTTGTGTTCTCACCACTTACTGGTAATATCCTCCCTTTAAGATAAGAAATCTCTGTGTCTAATTCTCTGAGGATTTTACTAATAGCGGAGGCCAGGCTGCGGAAGTGCATAGTGGACGTGTTGTCGTGCTCATATATTTTCTTGCCTGAGGCTTCTTCGAAGTCAACTAGGATTGACCGGATTTCTTGAAGCACTCCCTCGTGACTGAGCATCATTTTTCTTAGCTGCTCTATCTGTGTGCTGCTGTCTTTCAGCATGTCCTCTTTAAGGCATTTGGCAGCTTCAAGTTCATGAACTGTATTTTGAAGCTGATTTCTTAAATCCTCTTGGGATTGACTCTCCCTACGTCTATGAAATAAATGAAAGAAAATAATTGATAAAACTGATCATCACACAAGTGGTTTAACTACAGAGTAAAATGTTTAAGTAATTTAATGCAAAATAATGATAATATTAATTTCACGCAACAGATCCGAACCTGATGTCAGCCATCGCATCCCTCTCCATTTGCATCTCCTGAAGTTTCGTTTGCAAATCAATGACTGACTGCCTTAAGTAAAACTTCTGTTTCTCATGCAACTCATTGCTCTGCAAAAAATTACAATTATAATTATAATAACACATGCAAATTAATTTTCATTAGCGGAACACATTTCATTATTGCTAATACATACGTATTTAAAATTTTTACTAGATTCACCAAGATTTCTAAAATCGGTCACTGAAGGCTCTCCCAGCATAAAATTGATGCCCCGGCTAATCATGTCAAAGCAAAGGGATAAAGTTCTGCCCTTGAATAGAGGGTGCGTCATCACCATTTTTATTGCCTAATCTTTCAGTATGAACAAATTGTCACTGAACACTGGAAGAAAGATTCTAAAAAAAAAAAAAAAAAAAA